TACTAAATTTGGCATACAAATGACATTGAAGAAAAACGAAAGATTACCACAGATAATTTATACTAATTTTTCTGATACAGGTATTTATTTCAGCATGACTTCTACTGTAAAGTGTTATAATAAAATATTCCTTCCTGTTTTGGATATTTATTAGGGAAAACAATAAATTTCGAAAATATGTGTTCATGAGTTATTTCTAATTCAAACTTTTTATAATATAAGTAGATGTTTGGAACAACTTCAAACTGAAATCGATACAAAAATTTCATTTGGCTCATTTTTTTCTTTTTCAACTCAAAACCTAACTTTATAGCATGAAGTTAGTTATACAGAATTTCTTATCTAATTATATATTTACATAGCAGAAGAAAGAATGAAAATCTGTTGCATCATCAATTTAAACACGTTATGAATGATGAAAATATTGATTTTGTTTAGTACAAACATCAATTAATGCAAGTTTAACTCAGCACTACATCAAGGAATAATTAGTGTCAAAGCTTCTGTATCCTACGTTATCTTGATAACTTTAAAGATAATTATTGAATTGTTCATCTATGAAATTTGTATGTGAGCTTCAATACAGTTAGTTTTTGAATTACTTTAAAAGTAATTCAGTAGAAGTCACTTTTATTTTCCTTGTAGCTACGCTTATTAAACCTAACAATAATTCTTATTTAGTTTATTTTTTCTCATGATTTAATATATCACTACAGTCAAAACAACGAAAAAAAAACACCAATCAGAATATTCAGTCACTGAACTATTTCATAAGTTTTTATAAAACAAACTTAAAATATTAATTATTCAAAATGTAATCAATATCAATAGATAGACAACAAGAAAGAATAAATAATGTGTTTGAAAGTTTTGACTTGATAGTAAATGAGATATCACGACGAGTTTCACTAGTAGATCAGAACTTTATGAGCACACGCATTTTCGATTCGTTTCAGTTGTTAAATGAGTCAAAATTTTCTGAATATTTTTAGTTTAATTATGAAAAATTCTCATTTGAAATACTTACTTGTCTTTTGATCATACATTCATTTGTTTACTTGAATCGAAACTATTCAACCATTCCTGTTCTAATAAATGAATTGAACAATTAATTTTTTTTTTTGTTAAATGTTTATTGGATTTTAAATTAAATTAAAAAAGTTCCACTTACTCGTTTCTTTGCTTTATGAAGACCACTAAAATTTAAACATATAATAAGCGAAGACTAAAATAAAAATTGAATATTACAGTTTTTTTTAAGTTACTTTATCAATTAAATATTAATCAACCGAAAATTGCTTTAGTTAACTGATAAAATTCATCGGTTTTATTATTTTCATGATGTTGAAATCAATCATAATGATGAAGATACATGTATGACCATAAATTGAACAAAGTATTCCAAATTGTTCAGTTTCTTTAATTAGAAAAATTTTTATTTAAATAAAAACTAGAGATTGTGTCAATGCATCTCATTGAAGATTATAATGTAAAACTTACATGTATTCTTTAGTCTCATTATACTCATACAACATACTTGAAATGAAAAATTTCTACCAGACTATGAGGAATCAAGAGAAATCGAATTTTAGTCAATTTTGCTTTTAAAGTTACTATGATTTTCATATGTTTTCATTTTTGAATCTCTTAACTTCTTATGGATGAGTTTCCTTCGCGATTCTCGAAAAGGATATGGGTACTGGTATAGAGAAAACTATTCCAGAATTGAATCTTATCATATCTAAAAACGTCTTCAGTATTTTTTTTTATTTATACGCTTAAAGTCGTAGAATATTTAACTATAACTTTCAGTTGCAGTTGGAACGACCGGTTTTTCTCATAGTTGCTACTATTAAAGTGAAAGTCTATAATGACCACATTCATAAATGATCAATAACAAGATGCCTTGAGAAAATGTGAAATAAATTCTAATGAGAATATTATGAATACGAATCTGACAAACTTCCAAATTTTCGTCTCACATATCTTTAAAACTTACATTCACTCTATTTTGCTTCAAAAAAGATGCGAGTTCCACAAAAAAAAACAATCAATAATAGTATCATCAATTGTTAATGATAATGGATTAATATCAAATAAACTTTGAATATTCCTTAATTGAATAAGTATAATATGTTTTTATACCGAATGTTTTCCACATATGTTCAAGACAATCGAAGAAAAGAATAACGTATTAAATGTGTTCGTATTATTGTTAATTCTTGTGAAAGTTCAATAAATTAAAATTTTTCTATATAATCACGATATGCATCAAGGAATTCTAACTAAAATTTAACAACAATACACTTAATACTGTCGGAATCGTTTTCTTACTCGACAATTATCAATACGGTTAATCCACTGAATTAATTAATAATTGATAATCAATATATGCTGTTGATATAGATTTAAGTAAACGTTGAATAGGTCATATCATGATAATGCAACAAAATATTGTTTATCTAATTGAGTTTTATGTTTACGAATCTATTTGAAAATAGTTTTTATTTTGTTACATTATCTATTCAATGAAATAAAATTACCTTATGATAAGTATAACAACGAGTATTCATTTTTTTAAATCTAATGTATGAATCACATCCATTGTTTTAGCATAAAGTTTTCTAAAATCTATTAGAAAAAAAGAGTTCATTCGAAAATGAAGAACGGTGTCCGACAATTTAGTGCGAGAAGAATTTCATTATAGTCTACGAAAACTGAAATACATCAAAAACATCAAATCTCGTTAGGCTCGATAATTTTTTTCTAATGGTTTTATTCGACTGATAAACAACAAGTAGAAAAAAATTTATGCTTTCTTTTTCGAAACTATTGTTTGACTATTGAGAAGTGAGTTCGTATTCAGACTTTGCTATCGCATCGAACAATCAAATAATGTTTATAGAAAAAGTATACATAGTTTTTTTCTTAAATATATGACGAGTAAAAATCTTGGAAAAATATCGAGTCTGTTGGTACTTAATCATTTTATGATGTTTTTTTTGCAAATATAGTTTTTACGACAATAACATTGTTCAAGCCTATTAACAACAGAATATTTTCACAAGTAACTCAACAAACGCTGTAATTTTTTTTTAACTAGTAAAATATATTTCATTGAATAATTATCTTACTTGAATAATATTTAATAACATTGTAAAATTAATATTAATTTTCATTCGATTTCTCTTATATTCAATTCCAATTAAATACTAATTATATATGTTAATATTTTGTTCTTTATAACCATATTGTCATCTAATACATACTCATTTTAATAGTTGTATTGAATAATAAATCAAGTAACGGATTATTAATCATATGTTGATGATGAAAATAATAATAATGAAGAAATCTGACGATGTTGTTGTTTAATTATTAGTTAAATTAATTGTACACATGGATTTATCAACATTATTCATTAAACATAAAATTCTCCAAATCACTAAAAACATTATTATATATACATTTTTTAATCTTTTTTCTTTGTTGATCTTGATGTGTATAGAATAGATATGTCGATATAAATAAATTTTTATGCAAAAGAAGAATATATCTTATTTCATTCTTTTCTGTTGTAATAAATTCACCTAACAAAGAAAGATTTTTTCAAACTTCTGTAATGGATTATTTTGATCTAAAATTTTGTTGATATTTAGATATGTTCATCCAAAAAGAATATTATTGTAAAAATTAAAGTGTTTAAAAATTTCCATTGTTTTGTATTTTTCGACAGTCTATGAAATTGAATCAACTTTTTTAACATTAAGTATGTCTACTTAAGTAATAGTTCGTTTGATGTAATATATTTTGTATTTTATCATAACAAATAAAATAATTATACATAAATGTTGTTATTGAGTATCATTAATAAAAATAAACAAAACAATTTCATTTTCATTCCAAATGAGATACAATCTAAAAAATTCATAAATAAATCATTATATGTGTTAATGTTAACAAGAGAGAAAGGAAAGAAAAAAGAAATATATGTGAAAGCGAGGAATTTTCTTTTTTTTTTAAATCTTTCTCTCGTCCGTAAATCATTGTTCATGTTGTTATCATTGATGATCAATGATCAACATGTACAATTAAATATGTATATCAATTAACCTTTTTGAAATCAACTTTTAATTCATTTTCGACGAGAGAAAAAATGATTTTTCAAGGTATATATACGAAGGACTTTCTATGTAAAATCATTCAAATTTTTGAATCAAATAATAATCATTTTTCTTTTTCTATTCTAGATGGGCCTCGATGATACAAAATTAATCAAATCAAGATTAAGCCATACAATAAAAAAAATGTAGGTATCAGTTTTAATTTTTTTTTATTTAACGATTATAAGGATGGTGAAGTAAGACCTACTGTAATCTTTTTAATTTATTTTTTTTCTTTTGTCTTAGATTCGATGAATATTTTCAACTATGACAAGATAACAGCGGGGTAAGTTAACTCATTCTTTTTTTTTCATTATATAACATTAAATTAATTCTTTTTCGTTTTCTTTCTAGTTCTCAATACCATCGCGTCGTAATCAACATCGTTCAACATCAAAACAGGATGAGTAACGTTTTTTTTTAGATGAGAATAGGGGAGAGGGGGATGAGGTTAGATAGTGTAGTATTGAGATTGAGGAGAGGGATAGAGTGACTGAGAAAAGAGTGTTAGTAGGGAGAAGGGGTGAGTTATGTCCATTGAGATTAGGTCCCCATTAGTTACAGGCCTTCCGGGTAGGCCCTAAACACCCGGCCAGGAACTGTCTTGGTGTCCGTGGCATACGACCAGGCTTATTCAGACTCATTGACGTATCTCTCGCGGGGAGGGTATGAATGATATGAGTCTGTCCTGTGCGTGCATGAGCGTTACGCTCGCCACGGCTCCACCAGGATGGTTCCTGGCCGCGCGCGCGTGAATAGAATAAGCCATTCATTTCATCAATTCAACGTGATTTATTTGAAACGAAAGGAACGCAAAAAAAATCTATCACGACGAGTCTATTCGATTGAAAAGCGTTGAACACGATTATTCCCGAAATCGACGACATAGAGATTGCCATGAGGATCGAAAGACAAACTTCGGAGATAGGTGAACTGATTTGCTCCTTCTCCTTGACCATTTCCACCCACAATGACAGTACCCTGTTTCGCTCCTTTAGGCCAACGCATCACTCGATGATTCCACGAGTCTGCCACATAGATGGTACCCAACGTATCGACGAAGAGCCCATTAGGATGATACAACTGTGTCAGAGCATTCCCTTGTCCTTGACCTCCAGCAACGATAATTCCTTCTCTTGCACCTTTATTCCATTTCATTACACGATGATTGTTCCAATCTGACACGTAGACAGCCTGTTGCTGATCGACAAAGATGTAGGTCGGCCAGTTGAGTTGATTGAGACCAGCACCTTTGCCATTGCCACCAGCCACGAGAGTTCCATCCTTGTCTCCTATTTGATATCGTCTTACTTCATGTTTTTCGTAGTCAGAGATGTAGAGATATCTCTGATCATCCATGGCCAATCCATAAGGATCGATGTTATTGATGAAAATTTCTCCTTGAGTTGTACCACTACGACGAGACCATGGTACGACTCGTCGATTCCCTGAATCACAAATAATGAGACTATCCGTCTCTTTGTCGATCAATACATCGCTTGGATCATTCAATTGATCCAATCGATTTCCTTCGCCATTGCCACCAGCTACTACTTGTCCATTCGTATCACCCATCTTCCATTGAATGATACGATCATTGTAGTAGTCAGCGATGACTATCGTTTGATCATCATCAACGAAGAGACCATAAGGGCTGTTGAGTTGATTGGTGGCACTGCCTTCTCCATGACCACCAGCAACAGTCACTCCATTCTGGGCCCATCGGGTATCAACTGGAATATTGAGAATTCCTACAATGAACAAAAAAGAAAAGAAATCGTCGTTGTTGAAGAGATTTCATCTCTCGTGAGAGCAAGCGCTAGAAATACGACATTCCTCTTTGAGAATGCTCGTTTCGCAGATAAAAATTCAGAAGTCTTTTCCTAGTTTCTTGTGAGAAAAAAAGGATTTGGTAACGATTCTTACATCTATGTTACTTCTAGTTCTTGCCAAGATCTTATTGATCATAAAAATAATACCTGGAGATTGTTGTAAGAAGGTTCTCCAAGAAAGAGTAATACTAATTCCATGTAAGTTTTTGATAGAAAAACATAGAGATCTGAGGATTTTTTTCAGAATTGCAAGAATTCAGAATCTTTTTGGCAGAATGATCATTTATATGAACATCAAAGTAGATTCTATCTGTATCTTGTGACAAGAATATCAAATCGTTGAACAACAAAATATCAAACCTAATCCCTATATTTTTTAGGAAACTTTAAGGATACATGACTTTTCTGTATGATGAATGTGGATCTGCCGAAGAATCTCCTAAGTATTTGCATAGAGAATGCCGGTGAAATTTTATAAGGCTTTTGGTAAGTTATGTGAAGCTGTTCAAAGAACAACCGTGATGTATCCTGAGTAAGATCATGAGAAGGTTTGGATACAGGCGAAATTGAACAAAGTTGAGAGGATTCCACGCGAATCTATGTAATCTGAGAGGGCTTCTACTTTTGCAAATGTTGAAAAGATGGATGTCATTTCGAACGGAGTTCTTCAGTGAAAAACATTGGGATCTATGGATTTTATGGGCTTTGAAAAGAAAGTGTTCTAAAATGCTATTTGTAACTTTTGATGAACACCATCTTCAAACCATTGTATAAGAGTTCTCGAAGAGAATTTCGATGACTAAATAAGATACTCTGTCAAAATCTGAAAATCTAAAAATAATGAGTATCTTCTATGAGAATGATGGTATAATCCTTATGTAGTACTTGTTCTGAGAAGTCTTCTGTAAGCTCGCATGTTATGGATATATTCAGGAGGATCTGAGGAGTAAGTATTTTGAAATGGTTGATATCAGAGATGGGCAATTCCAACTCCAAAGTTGATGCTTTTTCTCATCAGAGTGAAAATGGAGCAGGAACAGGACAGAATGGAGGTGCCTATCTTTGAATTTTATGAGAAAGTTTATAAAGCAATAAATTAATATGCTACTAATTTATATCAATCGTAGATTTAATTATGTTCAAATACTTATGTGTATTTAAGAGTGTTTTGGCAGAAGTTCAGTTTTGTAAAATCCGACTCGAATTGAAGTTAAATTGAAGTTGGAGTAGGATCTTAGAAAATAGGACTGGAGTTATGTGGAGTTGGAGAGAGATAGAGTGTAGTTGTTCATCTTTGCTTAGTACACAAATGTCGATCATAATCAGTATCCAGGACGCCTTCTCTGAAATATTAGGAATTATTACAATGAACGAAACAGAAAAGAGATCGTCATTATCGAAGAGATTTTTGTCTCTCATACACGAGGACGTACTATAAATGAGACAGTGTTTCTGTAACGTAGTCTTTAAATAAAAGCACATCGTAAGGAAATGCTTTCGATGTCGAGGAAGAGAAAACTGCTTAATATGAAATTCTAAGGAGATTTCTATGTTCTAGTTTAGTGTTAGAATTTGAAAAGGAGATCTCACGATTCTTTCAGCGATATTCAGCTCATTTTCGTATGATATAGGATGTTCGAAAGAAGGAAAAAAAATGATGAAATGAAATATTAAGATGCTTAAAGTCGTGTGCACTTTAAGTTTTTCATGCTAGAGGTTGAAAAACGATCTTTATAATACATTAATTAGGATTTGTCTCTGAGCTGCTCTTTTAATTGTACAACTTTCTTTTTTTTTTTATAAAAGTAAATCCTTTTTTCAATTAAGCATAAACTATCATTCATCAGGCATGTTTGATACTTGTAATGCAATATCGTTGTAATACATTGAGTGGTTTCATTAGACTAAAAAAACTTTCATTGAAATGATGAAACCTCGTTATAGGTTTATCAAAAAAAAATTTTTTTGATTTTTTCCGAATTCTAAATTATTTTTAGATCTGTTTTCTTAGTAACGAAAAGAAATTATTATCGTACTTAAATATATTTGTTAAAGCAATAATGAAAATAAGAACAATAATATCGAATTGATATAATATAACTTACAAATTCTTTCGTAGAATTTCTTAACCTATATGATATAAATATATTTAGTTTGTTTTTCGATGATTTTCTGAATGGCATTCGAATCTACTATTATCATAATAATATAATAGTAAATAATGTCTAATATCGAAAAAAAAATCATTTTTTCGCGCTAGAAATTCTAGACGTTATGAAAATAGTTCATGAGCGGAGATTTATTTAGTCAAGTTTATTAATTTGAAGCAAAAAGAAATCTCAAAAATGACCTCAAGTAAAAAAAAGAGATGTTCTCAGATTTTTTAAAATGTTTATAAGATATG